GATCAGTGGAAATGGCCATGACATGGGCCCTTTAAAGAAAGAATGGGGACAATTCAATGTAGTTTGACCATTGTAACTGCTGTGCAGACATACTGATAAAATAGGGCTTCTATAATTACCTTAAATAAACTCACTAATGAATGAAACCAGTTCAATACGCATTATTCTTATTCTTATCATTCTTTATGAGCGCAGTAACGGTAAGGTATCTAATCACTTATATATTTAGTATTCCATAACTTAATAACAGAGATGGTCAAATTAAAGTAGAGACATGGCAGAAATCCTACAATGAAGCGGGACAGTGAAGTGTTCTCCTGTGAGAGGGCGATCAAGAGAAGAGAGAGAGCTGCCCCGTTGAGGGAGTTTACCATGGATGTTTAATAGGAGTTTACGGAGCAGATGGAAAGACACAGAAAAGACAGAAGCACAATAACAAGTATATGTAGGTGTTTTTTTGTAAATAACCGACGGTGTCAAGAGGAAGTAAAGTCCCTGCCATGAGAAAACTCAAAATCCATTTTCCAAAATCCGACACTAGAGGTGGTCTTAACGCACCAGCACCAATACAGAAGCCTATAATAAACATTATATATATAATACGTAACATGTGTAATCACACACTTAGCAATATAGAACATAAATAATAAAAACGTAGGCCGACCTGGTTTAAAACACTTTTGTGGTCATACTGTGGAATGAGTTCACACTGAAACGAGTTCTTCATCAAAAATGTCGCGGGCAATTACATGTAAGAAGAAGGGGAAGAAGAAGAAGTAAAATAAGTAGTAGAAGAAGAATGAAGCTGGTGTGTTTCCCGCAGCGAGACACTACAATACTAATTGTGGGCTTAACATGTTGATTCGACCACAACAGAAAAAACCTCTCGCTCTCTCCAGAGGGGCAGGTCAGCCAAAAAGGGAAAACGGGCCGTTGCCCGGGCTACATTAGACCGTACCTGTGCACGTCCCTGGTGAATACTTTACAGCGGCCGCTGCCGTGTGAGCTAACCCGGAGCTAACGGGAGAATAAACTCCGGTGGAAGAGCAGCACTGCAGCGGTCGGTAAATGCCGCTGAAACACATTAATAAACAATGAACCACGGCACTCTGGAGAAAAGTATAAGGTTGGAGAAGTCGTTATTTAATTTAATCTGGCTTCGTATGATTAAAAGCAACACGATCATCGACCCGACGCAGTCCCCCATTGTTGTTGTTGTAGTGAGCGCCGTAACGCCGTTGGGGAGAAAATCAGTGACGTAAACGGTGACGTCATGACGGAGCAGCACCAGTCGAACTCTGGGCGGTGTGAACAAAACGGGGGCTGAAACCAGAAAAGCTCTAGCACGGAGCTAGAACGGGAACCGTGTTGGTGTGAAAGGGGCATCTGTGCACACACACACACACACACACACACACACACACACACACACACACACACACACACACACACACACACACACCACACACACATACACACACACACACACACACACACACACACACACACACACACACACACCACCACAGACTCTCTGCAGGGAGGTGCAGCGGAGTCAGCTCCAGGGCAGAGACACACGTTCACTATGCCGAAAAACGATATCCTGTCACAGAGATCTGCTATTTTAAAGTCAACACATATCGACCTTAAATATAGTCTATATTAAGAACGAGAAAAGTTTTAACATATATATCGTTTTTTGTAAACATATGACAAATGTGCGAGGGTGATGACGTCAGAGCATCATCCTTTGTGCCGGGGGTGAGCCCTGGACAGCCCCGGCCCAATTTAACCCCTGGTTGCATGTGAAATAATAATTTAGGAATTGATTTAAGCATGGTATCGTTTAGCTAATGCATTAATTGAAGAAACTCAGTATCACCTACGTGCAGCTTACAAAAGCCAATTGTGAGAAACAAATATTATGCAGGAAATTGATGTAAGAACAGAGCATGTCTGATTCAGGAGGCAAAGCTCCACTTTACATCTGGCTTATTACTGATGGCATAGCAGGAATGATGTTTGGTGTCTGAGGGTGTCATTACTGAGAAATGACAAACAAAATCAAAACCCTACATTTGAAAACAGGTTAACTTAAGGTGACGTTATCATTGGAAACAATAAGAGCTAATTGTTTTGATGTAGAATGAGAATCTATAAATTGAAACGTTAGAGCCGAACAGAATGGTTAATAAAGAATGTTAAACCATATTTAATCTCTATATTTATATTAATTATCTGATTCCAGTGGCCAGTTAGAATAGATAATCAACAAAGTTTCCATTTAACAGCAACAGCGCAAAAGAATATGTCTGAATCTAGTTTTTGTCTTATCAGCTTTTGTCATGATCTTAGTGTTATGTCACGGTTTTAGTTTTGTCTGTCGGGTAATGGGTTTTATTTTGCTATTCTGTTCTCCCTGGCCCTTTCTCATTTCATCAATTCCCCCTCCTCGACTCCTCGGTCCTCCGGTAGTGACCCGGAAATGAATTTTAGCGCGCCATGTTGAACATCTCATTTCTCTAAATGCACTTCGAGGACCGAGCATCGAGCGTCGAGGAGGCTCTCTGGAGGAGCTATAACCGAGGATACACTGATGGGTCCTCCACGGCTCCTTCGTGGATGCATTTCCGACAACAGAGATGTTTCAAAGAGTCGTGACGCACGGCCGGACTTATCTCAGCCAATCACAGCTCTGCATGCATCCCCTGGATATCCAGTCTCTGATTGTGTTACGTTATTATGAGAGTGCTCTGTTTGATTCTGAAATTGTATATATTTATATAAATATATACATATGTGTGTGTGTGTGTGTGTGTGTGTGTGTGTGTGTGTGTGTGTGTGTGTGTGTGTGTGTGTGTGTGTGTCCGCATCTGTAGCCTGTTATTGTCTCATTATACCGCACTGTGAATGAATTCAAAGTAAATATATAAGTCATCATGAACACATCTGTCCATCAGACAGAGTGCTGCTGTGCCTCCTGTCATCATTAATGGACGTCTCTTTAAAATGACCGCTCAGAGGAGAGGAGTTCTCATTTCTCTAACCGCCTGCTGCTTCCCCTCCTCTCTCCTCGGTTCCCCTCCTCAGCTCCTCCACTCGCATCTCCTGTGGGCGGGACTAAGTCTCGAGGATAGGAGTCGAGGATAGGAGTCGAGGAGGGGAATCGAGGAGGGGAATTAGTGAAATGAGAAAGGGCCCCTGTGTCTTGTCTTCCTTCCTGTGTTTGCCCTCCTGTGTCTGATTGTCTGATTGTGTTCACCTGTTGCCCTTGTGTTTCTGCCTCCCCTGCCCAGCTGTGTCTTGTCCTGTGATTACCCTTCTGTGTATTTAGTCTTGTCTTCCCCTGTGCTCCATGTCGGTTCATTGTCTTTCCTGTCTCCCTCCATGTTGGTCACGGTCAGTTTTGGTGTTGTTGTTACCTTGTGCTACCTATGTGTTTCATGCCATGTTTTTGCTTTTAAAATAAAGCTCGCTTTTTGTTTCTAGACCTTTTTACCTTTTTTGTAGTCTGCATTTGGGTCTTACCTTTTCCACGCATTCTAACAGAATGAACCGACCAACTATGGACCCAGCGGATTTTTATTATTTTGACTTGGATCTGTTTGATCTAGATTACTCTCTTCGGTGTCATCATGCTGAGTGGAGTAGAACCTCGGCTAGAAGGGACAAAGAGGCTGCCCTCAAAAAGGCACAAATGGAGGTGGCCGACATGCCATGGTTGAGGAGCTCGTTGCCTGAATGGCTCAGAGTTTTTTCGCACAGCCCTGAGGGCCAGTCTCCATTCTCGGACCCTTTCTCGGGATCCCGCCTGGCGTTTAGAGGTCCACGGATTCTCCAAAAGACCTCTAAAAGACGCAAGGCCAGGATTCCAGCCCGTGCTCCAGAGGTTCCGGTCCCAGCAGCCATGTTTCCGGCTCCAGTACCGGCCCACACAGCCATGGTCCCAGCTCCAGTTCCGGCCCCAGCAGCCATGTTTCCGGCTCCAGTACCGGCCCCAGCAGCCATGGTCCCGACTCCAGTTTCGGCTCCAGTACTGGCTCTCCGGCCGACGCCAGCTCCCCGTGTCCTGTCGGCGTACCGGCCGACTCCAGCTCCTCGTCTCCTGTTGGCTCACCGGCCGACGCCAACCCCTCGTGTCCTGTCGGCATACCGGCCGGGGGTCCCGCCTACTCGAGTCCCTTCTTCATCGGGGGTCCCGCCGAGTCGGGGGTGCTGTCAACTCAAGACTCAAGTCCCCTCTCGAGTCTCTTCTCGAGTCCCCTCTCGAGTCCCCTCTTGAGTCCCCTCTCGAGTCCAGCTCAATTTGGATTGAATTTAAGGGGTTTCAGAGGGGGGTATTTAAGCGTGATGCAGATGCTCTCATCTCATTTCTGTTTACCGCATTTTTTATGTAAGAGAACTGTTAGAGGGGTGGTTTTCAATAACATAGCCGAATGTATTTATCCCTCAAAGTCATGTTTTTGTGTGCACTCTGAGGAGTACAGTATCAAACAGGCATTTGTTTAATCATTTTAAAATGGGCTTTTTTAACCATTTGCATCGGATCAGGTGATGCACTGCAGCGTCCAATCAGTGACTGATACACAGTAAGGGGGTGTGTCAACAGCTGAGGATTTCACTGAAGGATGGTCTGGTGGCTCCTCGCTCCTCTGGGAACAGATAACTGCCATGGAACGCTTGAGATGGCGCACAAAAGAGAGCGAGGATCCAGAAGAAAGGAAATGACAAATAAGAGATATGGCATCCAGCTAGAGAATATTCTGTAGACTGCTGAAGCCTCATGGTGGCTTCCTGCAGTGTTCTGCTTCAGAGAAGAAGAGTTTGGTTATGACTTCCCCCCACAAGTCAGCAGGAGCTTATTTCAGCTCAGTTTCATCTCCTCTGTCTAGAAGACTCATTTACCGACACAGAAACGTCTGTTTGTTTCAACATGTCTTTACGTACTGGTGTGTCAGTGATATTAACTGTGATCTCGGTTTTGTTTTGTTCACCTTTAGAGAAAGAGGTGGCACCAGGGCTGGCTGTGTTCTTTCAGAACGCCTTCATCTTTTTTAGGTGAGTACAACATGAAACAGTAGTGGAATATTAAATCATCAACATTCTATATTTTTTCTTTTCATTTGGATTTTAAGCATCTAAATTGAGAGCACTAATATTTGTATGACTATAATTTTGCTCTCTAAATGCCAGAAGTCAGACAGCAGTTGATACTTTACACTCCATGTTGTTTATTTGACATGCAGCAGTTTTCTGTGAGCGGAGCACACATTTTAAACGTAAATATCACACAACATTTATTTAGTGGTTGGAGGAAAAATCCTGATTGAGATGAATATTCATTTAATTGTGTAGCAGTAGTTTCAGCCCAGTGGGCATCAGGTTCAGGCGTCAGACTCGAGAGATCATACGTTTCCAGCACGTAGGATGCAGAGGTTGCAGAGAGGTCACAGAGAGGTCACGCTAACAACTCATGGCTAAAGCTGCTGGTGACACTTTGTGAAACTGCTAGAATTCAAAATGTGCACATTCTGTCCAAAGATGGACCAGAAATGAAAGGATTCCTAAATACTGCTCAATAAAGGTTGAAATGAATTAAATTTGAATTCCCTCTTCAAACATTCTCCTTACACAATATGAAATACCTGCCAATACAATACCAGTTACAAACTGTTTATTCTCCTTTTGAATGTCTTTTTGGGTGCAGATCATTGATGACTTGATGTTCTACTTGTAGAAACTTCACAACATGAATATGTTTTCAGCAAAGACTAGAGAATGTCTGTGAGTTGAAAGCTGACCATAAGTCCACAAAGAATGAGCGTAAAATCCCTCGTCCCTCCCTCCTCCACCCTCTTCCCTGCTTGACATGAGAACTGGAGTGTCCATAATGCTCAGTGACATGGCCAGTGAGCTCCTCATGATTCCTCCAAACCTTTCATAACTGATGGAGTACGTGCCTAATCATCACATAGCGTCTGCCTGCTGTAGACCTGTGTTCTTGGAAGTAAAATCACTGTTTCTGTCAAGGGAGCCTGGTGGCTTATTGGGTATTTGAGTTTGATATCTGACTGTTTTCTTCCACTTACTGATGCTGACTGAGCCCCTGGTTGTGTTACTCTGACACTGTGTCAGCGTCACACAGACAGGTGTTATGTTTCTGCCGAGTATGCAGACCACGTCTCAGACCACAGCAGATAACAGTGTGAGAGGGTCAGTAGGGCTATTTCAGTTTTCAAAGGATGGAAGAATCAGTGTGCCTGATGAAAAATAAATGTAGCAGTAGTTTGAGCGGCACACATCTCTGACCTCACGTCTTGTTTCCTCTCTCTCTCTGCAGCACTCTCATCTACAAGTTTGGCCGGACTGAAGATTTATGGGGTTAGAGGGTCTCTCTCTCACACACACACTACTGTTTCTAGATCATTTTCATGTCTTTGCTGTCATAATAATAGTACTGTCATTAGTTTAGATGTGTTTGCACACTTTTAGTTCCGTTGAAACTGTCTGTGCTGTTTTTGAGAAATCCATTGTCACTTTTTGATTCAACATGTTTGTATTATAAACGAGGGATATTCTGTTCGTACTTGAACGGAGGATTCAGGTGGTTTTAATGTGTTTGTATCTCAGATGCATCTTGTCCCCTCAGTCAGTAAGGGAGTATGTTGATGGTTGCAGGTTCACTACAAGAGGCCTGTACTACGAATCCAGTTCAACAGACCCTGGATATGTTTGAGTTACCCGGCTTACCTAATCCAAAACAAACGCGCTCTCGCTAAACGGTCCTACGACGCTGGTTATCAACTCGGTAACTCAAGCCAAGGTTTCTCTGTCCGGCTGAGTGCGCGTTCACATGAAAGGGGCGGGGTTAGCAACATTTGACCAATCACAAACATGGAGAAGCGTACTGACAGCGCAGCGTCATACTTCCTGAATGAAAAGTGAACTTTAATATTAGTCAAATATGAAGAAGTTAAACTTGAAACATCCATGACTTAAACACTTTATCCAGGATCAAAGCCACATAGCTGCACCTGCAAGGTGAATACAGCTGGTAAAAGAAAAAGTGTTTGAATGCGTACATTAACAGGTTTATGATATCACTGCCCCGTCCAAGACACGATCTGACTTTAATTACATTTGACTCGAGTGTTTCGTCAACTTAATGTGTTGCTTAAAATAATACTTCTGCATACAGTATGTGACACTGTGAGTCAGGGGTCGGCAAGTAAGTTTGATGGCGGGCCGGAACATAATCAAAGGCTTATTTAAGTAATTGATTGTTAAAACATGTGACACGTTCGAATGCTCGCTGCGGTGCCGTTCTGTGATTCTACAGATGGCCAGTCCGCCACTGCTCACAAGCTTATTAAGATCCAAAGCTTTAGTGCGTTTTGAATCAATGCTGAGTACAGCCAAACTTGACAGTCTCTTCTCTGTCATTGTCGACCGAATGGTTCTCGTTTTGCGCCGTCCCGTTCAAATGACAATCACATTTCCATGCTCGCGCCAGGGCCGGGGTTACAAGGCTCGCGTCTTGTGCTGCATTCACTTGCACTCGGACATTAGGGATTTTCTCTCATAAATGTCCGATGAGCCAAAACTTTTCTTTCAAAACAAAGCTGCCAACTGTGGTGGCAGCATATGCACCACCACCCCTCGCCCTCCACGATCAAGCGGCTTCTCCAATTTTGTTGTCAATGTTTTGACTGAACTTTGTTACTGTTCACATACAAGTAAACATTACGTTGTAATGATTTAGTGAGCTGGTGTTATTTTTTCAAACCACAAACCGCATGTTGGCTATTTCAGCACCACGCGCTGTCCACCTACTTATTGATCCACTATCAGCGTCAGTGCACCCCGCTGCCAGATTGTGCCTGTGCTGTGTGTCATTCACTCTCAACATGGATAAAAGTACAATAAGCATTCTTCAGGTGTAGGTAGATTATCTATTCTGACATTATAGCCTATATGTGTGACAGTGCGACTGTCGGTCCGATATTGAAGAAAAAAGAAAAAAAGAAATCTAAAAAAAAATATTTTATTTTTATTCTCAAAATAATTTTCCGGGCCGCGGGTCGCCTATTGCCGACCCATGCTGTAAGTGTTGCACGGCCAGATACGGCTCAAGAAGCTGACTCAGATAAGGAAATATATGATACATTATGATGTGATATGATATGAATGATAATGAGACACATCGACGTCTGCACTCACAGTGCAGCGGACTGTACGTAATGTTACTCTGATCCGGTTACTTATGTCGTGGCAGATATTTAAGTAAGCTTTCTTAACGCTAATGTTATATTGGTCAGAAATATATAACTGACTAATATAACAGTATACACCGACTGTGTGAACATTTTCACGTTCACACAGTCGGTGATTTTTGCCGGCCGTCGTTCCTGCAACGGCAGTTTTTCTGTATTTCCTTTCTCCTGTAATATGACTTGATGGCTTTAAACTCCGCACACTGAGCTCTGATTGGTCAGCAGGCGGTGCTTTCACTGAGTTGATCTCTTATCCTGGAACCAAACCTGTTCCGGAGGCCTGTACTACGAAGCTGGTTCAACCTAACCTGGATATGTTTGAGTTAGCCGGTTGGCCTAAGCCAAAACATACGCGCTGGCGCTAAACTGTACTACGACGCTGGTTATCAAGTGGATCGCTTAAGCCGCCGTGTCCTATCTAGTTAGGTGCGCGTTCACATGAAAGGGGTTGTATTTGGAGCATTCGACCAATCACAAACACGGAGAAGCGTACTGACAGCGCAGCGTCATACTTCCTGAATGAAAAGTGAACTTTAATATTAGACATATGAAGAAGTTAAACTTTAAACATCCATGACTTAAACACTTTATCCAGGATCAAAGCCACATAGCTGCACCTGCAAGGTGAATACAGCTGGTAAAAGAAAAAGTGTTTGAATGCGTACATTAACAGGTTTATGATATCACTGCCCCGTCCAAGACACGAGTGGATCTGACTTTAATTACATTTGACTCGAGTGTTTCGTCAACTTAATGTGTTGCTTAAAATAATACTTCTGCATACAGTATGTGACACTGTGAGTGTTGCACGGCCAGATACGGCTCAAGAAGCTGACTCAGATAAGGAAATATATGATACATTATGATGTGATATGATAATGAGACACATCGACGTCTGCACTCACAGTGCCGCGGACTGTACGTAATGTTACTTTGATCCGGTTACTTATGTTGTGGCAGATATTTAAGTAAGCTTTCTTAACGCTAATGTTATAATAGTCAGATTGCTCTGAAGCTGGGAGGGGATATTCTATTAATTTTCACGTTCACACAGTCAGTTGATTTTTGCCGGCCGTCTTTCCTGCAACGGCAGTTTTTCTGTATTTCCTCTCACTGTAATATGAATTGATAGCTTTAAACTCCGCACACGGAGCTCTGATTGGTCAGCAGGCGGTGCTTTCACTGAGTTGATCTCTTAGCCTGCAACCTAACCTGCTCCGGAGCAGGTTTGCCGCTCAGCATAAGTTACCATGGAAATCTAGCCTGCTAAAAAGAGAACCAGCGTCGTAGGACCGGAAAGCCCGAGATTTCCCTGAATTTAGCCGGCTAAGCGAAAATCCAGCTTCGTAGTACAGGCCTCAGAGCAGGTTAGCCGTTCAGCATAAGTTACCATGGAGATCTAGCCCGGTAAGAAGTGAACCAGCGTCGTAGGACTGGAAACCCAGAGTTTTCCCTGAAGTTAGCGCGCTAAGCGAAAATCCGCCTTCGTAGTACAGGCCTCTGGAGTAGATCAGAAAGCCAACACAGTGTTTGTGTTAGTGCGAGATAATTGCTTTACATAAATGCATTCTGGGTAAAAGGGTAAACACAACACTAAAGGGGAACAAGCCCTTTTTGCTGACTCTTCTGGAGAGCATCACTGTATGTGAGGGTAATACATGCACTGGATTATTATGTTGTTAGAAGATAAGAGTTTACCTTGTCATCATTTTATGTTGGACTCAAATGATTATTTATTCTGCCTCAGGAGGAAATGTCTTTTTACAGTCTGTCTGTCCTCATGTAGTTTCACTACAACACAATGTCATGTAAAGTGAGGCGTAAGTATTCCGATTTCTTTTAAAGAATACAACAGATCTTGTGCAGCTGTTTATCAGACTGATGTAGTATTAGCAGTTCTAAAGTATTAAAATACATTACACTACTTGATCTCACAAAGATCATCTGTTATGTAATAGAATGCACATTTACTTAAATGCTCTGACTTGCATGGAGTTCAAATAAAATGGAAAAAACTGGAGGTTTGGTTTTATTCACATTCTGACTACGTTTTAGAAAATATATTTCAGATTTTTCGAGAGCTTTAAACATGAAAAATAAAGAAAGGTTTTATTGGAGAATGCAATTCAAAGCAGCCCAATACAGTTACTTGTTGCTGCTTGTCAGGATAAATGCTGGGGCCATTATAATAAGCCTGTTATATCTAATAACCCTGGAAATCTATCGATAATAGATTAGGACTGGGCCTCCATTGTTCCTCTACTCTAAGTGGCTTCATTTTTAAACACTAGCCTTTTCTCTGAAGCAAGCAAACGCATACCATTTCCTGTCTGCCAGACCTTCTCATCATCATGGCCCGATCCCCGATGCATGTCATGAATACAGCTGTAGAGCAGCTTTATGAAACACAAACACCTCCATGCCTCAGTTCAGTCAGTCACTTCCACCATGATTGTGAAAATGTAATAAAAATGTGAAAATAATGAATGTGCACCTCCATGCTACTGTTTTGTGAAAGCAGAGGGTCTCAATGAGATAACATCATTGGGAGCAGCAGTGAACTTTGACATACAAAGAAATTACGTAGCGTTAGTTTTGTTTTATTCAACCCGGTATCACGGCAAGACGTGAACATTTCATGTTGGTCACACTGGGACACGTCCGGGACACGATTTCACCTCCTCAAAACGTCACAGTTACCCGGGATTGTTAACATGGCCCACCAGTGGAGAAATACCCGGATGTTGACAAGCAATTAAGCCTCTATCACGACTTTTGGTTCACTATAACACAACTTTTTGTGGAGAATACGAAGATTTGTTCAGGCCTCGCCAGGGAAATGTACGGAGCCCCTAAAGCAGGGGTGGGGAACCTTTTTCCTCTCAAGGGCCATTTCAATTTTTCCAACATCCTCCGAGGACCGTACAAATTATTGACCTCTGCTTAAAAATAATAAAATCACAGCCCATTCATTTCACCTCTCTTTCATGCTGTGCAAAGAAAAAGCAACCTCTTAATCCAGATATTTTACCATGACTCGCGCATGCATGCACGTGCACGGTTGTGGCATGACCACCAAAACAGAAAGATATGGACACAAGATGTTTGCAAATGTATTTAGTTTCCTATCCATGTGGACATGATTTAAGTGGTTTTAACCTCCTCTAGGGGGGTCCGGGGGGCATGCTCCCCCTGGAAGATTTTTTTTTAAATGTTGAAGTTAGCATCAATCTGGTGCACTTTGAGAGCAACACCCATATGAAACAGAACTGTAAGCAGATTTATTTTTCTTTATGGATATTTTACAAATCACTCTCCTTTCAAACTGTGTTCTTGTTTATTAATAACAACTTTTTTTTACTGTCATAGTATTTTATACCTGTTTACTTTATTCTCTTATTTTTTGATAACTATAATGATCATATAAAGATGTGCTTTTACCTCACTGATTGTAGAAAAAGCTTCTTATATTCGTTAGCATAGCTAGCTAACCAGATGCTAATAACAACAAAGTGATTGACTGTATGATCAGTATGACAGATGAA